AAAAGAGCTAGTGAATTAGAAAGGTTCGTATTTTATATCATTATGAAAACCTAGTTCATCTTTATATTATCTTGTACAGAACTTCTTATGCAGAATTTTTTTTTAAGTTCACATTACTAGAGGGTAACAAGAGGGGGAGTTAATATGTGTGTTCTGACTGCAAGTGGAAGCTCGTATTCTGCAAGGAAAACATGGCGATAGCTGAGAGTGGCAGAAACTACCTGTATATTTCACTCAGGCTTGTAAAAGTGCTGTCTTTTAAATGAAACTTGTCGTGCGTATTTACTGCTGGATTGCCACCTGCCAGTCACTATTACTTAATGCAGATTGCCTTGGGACAGCTTCTGATCATGAAAATAATAAACTGGCGGCACCTGGCTCCAGTGTAAGTGGTGTTATGAAATCACTGCAGTGTTTTTCCTAGGGTATACCTTTGAATAATAATGTCCTTGCATTTCTGTTGGCAGTATGGAATGCTACTGTATCAGAATTACAGAATTCCCCAGCAGAGAAAAGCCATGCTTCCACACTTTTCCACTCCAGTAGTAAGTAATGAACTTTACCTCATTAACGTATGATGTTGGAAAAGATACATTTGCTTTTGCATTTTAAAAGTGGAAAATTTTACGCTAAGGAATGTGAATTCGGCATTGTGTAGCAAATCAATGTAAAGTTCACGTTTCACTTGAGCACAGTTTACGTGGTTGGCTCTCCATTATCTTAGGCTTACATGATCCACATGATTGAAAAATCTTGGCTACGTCAGGCACTTTGAGATGTACAGTACAGAGACATCTGGCTGTCTCTGCAGAAGCCAGCTTAGGTCTGGCAAAACTAAGACGTAAATCTCTTAAAATATGTTGGGCCAAGAGCTGACTGTTAGCTATCTAGAAGTGAAGAGCCTATATTTGGATCCCAACTGGCCGTGAAAATGACTGGAGTATAGTAATAGGGCAAGTGGGCAATTCGGGCAGTACAGATTTTATTCTCAGCCTTTGAATCCTCCCCTTCCCCTACGGCCTAAAAAGAAAAGCCATCTATTTTTGTGTCTGCAAATCTTTTGGAAGGGGAAAAAAAATGAGACGTATTTTCTGTGCTGTTGAAGGATAACTTTGGACAGTCTTCTGAAACCAAAACATTTTGAAATGAAACTCTCAAGCTGGTTTTTTCTTTCCCTGTTTTTTGAAACAAGTGAAAATTCCTTTTCAGAGAAGTGTATCTGAAAACTCACTAGTAGCAATGGATTTTTCGGGGCAAATAGGAAGAGTTATTGACAATCCTGCTGAACAGAGTGCTGCCTTGGAAGAAGGACATGCTTGGAGGGTAGCTATCTTCTCTTCTTTTCTATTTTTGTAATTAGTAAGTGTCTGTTGAGAGCCAAAACACAGAGTGTGCTATGATGTTAGTGCAGTGCTGGTCACAGTATAGCTTAGCTCCGACCTGAAGCAATCACACTGCAAGCATGCAGATCTGAAAGTCAATATCCATCTTTAGCAAAACTGTCACATTCACAACAACCTTCTACCACTGCTTCTCTGTCCCCCTAGTGTCCAGAGGAAAGTTGAGGGGGAAAGCAGACCCACCAGAACTTTACTGCCAGTTTGCAAAACCAGTCTCTGAGGAGGAATATGTCAAATTAAATGCTTCCCCACATGGAAGAGGCTGGGGCTCTGACTAATGGCTTGCTCCCAGTAAGTTTAATTGCAGAATATACAAGAGGCAGGACCTCTTGCAATGAAAACTGATGTAACCTTGTTTATAGTGTCTTGTGGACAGACAGCTGCAGTACAAGTTTTCCCACATGCTCGTCTCTTAGGGAATAGGAGTCATTACTGAAGCACTAGCTGGTGCTTTATGTACGGGAGGGAAATACTGCTTGATTTACTGAGTGCCTGGTGTTTTGCCTGAGCAGAAACATATCAGACTTTTCTTTTTTCTGTCATTTTTTTCTTTTTTTTTCTTTTTTTTCTTTTTTTTTTTTAGATACTGAGCTTTCATCATTAACATCTGGCTTGTGTTTTAAGCCAACTGAAATGAGCTGCTGCTTGTAGATTAGCCCCCTTCAAAGTTGCATTTCTTTTTCTCATCCTTGCATTAAACTTGCCCAGCCCCCAGTTTCCTGTAAATTAAATCTGTATTGCATGTGCACTAGTTCTCTTCTGTTGAGGCTTTAGTGTGGATTTAACGGTACTTCATTTTCTCTATAGAAACGTAGCACAAGAATGAACATCTTGGGTAGCCAAAGTCCACTCCATCCTTCCACACTGAGTACAGGTAAATTCTGCTGTTTTGTAAGCATAGTATAAGAGGCCTCTGTGGGTAAACAAAAGTTATATTTCATATAGAGACAGAGATAAGAGTGCAGTCATGTAGTATTAATGCCTCGATGTCAAATACTATGTTTATGTTTATCAGTAGCTTCTGTGTCATTAACATGCTCATCCATACAGACATAGTAGAAGGAACTTGTTTTCCTTTGAAGGCGCGCTCAAGCTCTTCTTCAATTTTAATCTTTTGAAACTCAGTTTTTATGAAAATTGAGACTCCATAAATGTTTCCATTTAAAACGATCCAGAAGTCAATTCTTCATTTTAGACAAGGAGAGTCAGAGTGATCTCTTAATCTTTAAAGAGTAAAAATGAGACTCTTTAAAATAGCATTCATTCCATAACTAAATAATGTAAAATATGGATGCCTGTAATGTGAGTCCTGAACATCTCTTTGAGATTGTAAGTTTATGAAAATAATAGGAAATTCCATATTAATATCCTGGACTTTTTAGAGGAAAAACAGCTGTTCTCTGTTTCTATTCTGTTGAACAGAATTTAAAAATACCATTTGAAAAACAATAAAACAATAAAGATAAAATATTTGGGGGTAGCTCCACCCTTGAAAGCACAAGGCAAAGTGCTTTTCATTATTTGAGAGTTAAAGGGACTTGGTTTTAACTTGTTAGCTCATACATTAAATTCTAAGAGTTGTTTAGTCCCAACATCTTCAAGAAACTATGAAAAGGCAGTATTGTAAGAGAGATCTCTCGTTAACCTAATCATACATCTGCAAATCAGCAAATACATGGAGATAATGCCTGTCTACTTGGTATATTAAGTAGATGCAGCAGCTGGTGCTTTTTTTTCATGTTGATTCGTTTTTTATATTGATTGATGAAAGATATTTTATATTCTGTAACAAAACTATACCCACTTTTAAAATGTTTAAATAATTAGTGTGTGGAAAAAAACGTTGCATGTGTTACTGTTTTTAACCATCCTGTCTTTCCCTCTTTTCCCTCTCGCCTCCAGTTATCCATAGGACACAGCACTGGTTTCACGGCAGAATCTCTAGAGAAGAATCTCACAGGATTATTAAGCAACAAGGGCTTGTAGATGGGTAGGTATTTCCATTGCTTAGTATTTATGATCTGATGGTAAGCGTTATAGACAAGAGCACAACTTCTGCTGTAAGGGTTTACAGGTTTGTGAGCACTTCTGAGTAACCTGATTCTTGAGTACTCCCATTATAACCTGCTTGGAATTCAAAAAGACAGAGTACGTGTTTGTATGAGTGGGCTCTAACGCTTAATCTGAAAAATAAAATATTAAGAATACACTGAAACTTTTTTATTTTTTCCAACAGAGTCAATCAAGTTTTAGAGAATGTTAGAATTTGAAAATAATTAATTCCTGTAGTCTGCATTGAGGACATTTTTCAGGCAAAGCTGTACCTAGCCTTTGGCCCACAAATTTGTAATCAGCCATTTGTGCTCTTCTGCATGAATCGGAGCAGTTAATGATGACGTCTCACTATTTATTTCTGTTGTAGAGCAAAGAAATGAAAGTACCTGTTCCAGCGCTCTCTAAAATGTCTGTAGTTGAGATTTAAGTATCTTCTGAGCATCTCTGTTTCCCTTATTTATATGTAGTTATGGTTATTGTGGGGAGGTTGCTTAAATTGCATTCAGCAGTTCTTTATTTGTAGGATGGGAAGAGCATGGTTGCTGTCAGTTCACTAAGCTCGCTGCTGTCAGGGTTAAGGTAGAAGCTTCCATGCTGGCTTCTCAGGAGACAGTCAAGTTCAAACCTTTCTTCGGCATTTCCTGATTCAGGAGCATCTCTAATCTTGGTGAAGAATGAAATACATCAGAGAAATAGAAATTGCTAATACATGTACATACTCATCAAGCAGTGTTTTTTTATTGTTTGGGGTTTTTTGCTGGGCTAAGGCTATTGAGAGTCATATGCGAAAAGGTTTTAGCTTAGCAGGTCAAACAGAAAAGAGGCAGAGAAAGCAAAGGAGCACTGCTGCCTTTTTGGGTTTCTCGTTCTGTCACACTACAGATCTTCTTTACAATCTTGGGCTCATTTTGACTTGTTGCCTTAGGAGTCTAGTGGCCCGTCCTTCTTGGGGTTTTCATAAATGTGTTAATGCCTTTGAGGCGGTGTTAAATTTGTGCCTAGCCAGCTTACTCACTGTGGAAGGTGAAGATTGATTAGTTTGGCTGTAATGAGGTCAGTCAGTAGTGGCAAAAGAACCTTGTTACCTATGTGCTCTGAGATCTAAGGATTGTGGTTTTCAGGATAGAAAAGTCTTGCCTGTGTTTTCCTGCTCTGTGTGTTCTTGAACAAAAGAAGGTAGAAAGTTAACGGTATTCTGACGGCTTGTGTAAGATGTTCAGCAGTGTATATATGCAGCTGATCCTGCTATCATTTGACTGTTTCTGGAAGCTATTGTTGAGGATGCATCTATATTTATAGTCACTGTTTGTGTGGACAGCCTGTTGCTTGCCAGAGGTTGAGTAAACACTTGCAGGATCAGTTGTGCTGAGCTTTGCTTTGTGCCACCAGCTTGTGATACCAGGCATAATCTGAAATGGCTAGATGAAAGAATTTAGAGGTACCTGCGTGAACTGCAGTGACCACAGCGCAGGCAAGATCTTTCTCCCTGAGAGGGATCCTAATGTGTAAAGTCTTTGGTCCCCCTTCCACACATCTGGTCTTGCTGGGATAAAAAGGAACATTCAAATACCACGCATGGTTTCCGGTGGTGGCAAGACATGCCTGTCTCTGAGTATTGGACTGACCTGGGTTATGATGGTGCATTTTTGTGGTATTGACATTTCTCAATCGGTTCTGAGGAGCTGGAGTAAGTTCTTTCGGGTTCATAAGACTACAAGCAGTTCTTGCAACTCAGCCTTGGAAAAGTGTGTTCCTGGCTTAGTGGTTAGCAATTAAGAGGGCTTGAGGCCTGCCCTGTAGGGTAAACAGTACTGTGCTTGGCCGTCTCACAAATCCAGCAGCGCTGTGGTTAGCGCTGTGAGCCTTATGCCAAAGGTATATTCTTGTTTCCTGCGGCATGGAGAGGTTCTCCTTCCTTAGTTCATAAATGTCAAGGGGAGGAAACATTTTTTGGCCAGATTTTTTTCTCCTCTTCTAAGTGTATGTTTAACCATTTGAGTTAGGACTTCAATTTTGTGAGTCAACTTAAAAGTGACAGTTACATACTGTACGATGTTGCTAGCTATACTCCTAAACTACATTCTTTTCCAGTGACGCTGAGGGAAAAATACTGTGACTGTTTTAGAGGAGAAATCTGTGTGTGTTTCCGCCATCTTGATAATGTGGATGCTACTTAACCGATCAGTCGTTTTAAGAAAATACTGAACTATTTCTGTGCAATTGCAGCCATTTAACTTAAACGTAATTTCGCTAACGCTGGATTTCTGTAAACCGATGCAAGATACTGGAGAGTGGGAACAGATTCTCATGTATTACTTTCCCATCTACAGAGATCCAGATTTGCTTTGGAGTTAAATGAGAACGTTTTCTTCATGAGAGTACATATCAGTAATGGAAAGCTCAGTTAGAGAGGCCCTTAAAAAAAGCCGCATGCATACATTCATAGGGGAAGAACTACTGTCATGTATCTTTCACTTCTTGTTTCTTGATCTATTAGTGTTGCATAGCCATGGTATAAAAACTGAAAGCAAATTGCCAGTTATGGAATAGCCTGTTAATGCAACTAAGGAAGAGTTAGGCAATAGCACAAAATGACTTAGTAGTTCTGATTATTTACGAAGAAATGGATTGTGGTATTCAGTGTGTACTTAAAAATGTTCTCTCCTAGACTATTTCTTCTCCGGGACAGCCAAAGCAATCCAAAGGCATTTGTACTTACTCTGTGCCATCATCAAAAAATAAAGCATTTTCAAATCTTGCCGGTAAGTAGATTATTTTTTATACCGATCACAAAAAAAGAAATTTTAAATCATAAAGCTTTGCCAACATCTGAAGAGACCTCTTAATAAGTACTGATGTAATTAACAGGCATGTTTCCATTAGCAAGTATTCTTTAGAAATGTCAAATGTCTGATTAAAATTCTTTGTTAACATTGCCTGGAAAAACTAGCGTAAGTCACTTAGGTATAGAAGTAATGCACAGAACTTGTTCTCTGTGACTGACAGCAACAACAGCGGCAGTTGTCTCCCTATCACTTAGGCAAACATAGAGTAACTTAGGGAAACTTCTAAAAGTTTTATTCTGGAGGTTATCCAATAACATTGAGCTTAAAATAGCATTACACTGAGATGTCGAGAACCTATTTGATTTTTATCTTGGTCAAAAAGAGCATCAGAAGTTTAAGATCATGTAGACCTCTTCATTGGTCCAAACCCTCTTCTCTTGCTGTGCCTGCCAATTTTACAAACAGCCAACAAATATTTTGGGGGTATTTTTGTTTTATGTAATGAAGACCAGTGCTGTCTCTACAACTTTCAGTGACTCTGCCCACGAGCTTTCACTTTCATAAACAAAACATTTCAGGTTGGGTTAACGTACGTTCTTTTCTAGTGCTGTGCATGGTTTCATGAAGATCTCTGGGAACTAGGTTGTTTGGGCAGTGCCCGTCATTTGTCTTACGTCACACACTTGTACTCTTTATGTTTTGCCACGCTTGCATCTCTTCACGTGCAGTCTAACTTGAAAAGGACATTTTGTTTCCCCAGTGTGAAGATGATGGACAGATATTTTTCAGCCTGGATGATGGGAACACCAAATTCAGTGATCTAATCCAGCTTGTTGAATTCTATCAACTAAACAAAGGAGTCTTGCCCTGCAAACTCAAACACCACTGCATCCGAGTGGCCTTATGACCTCAAATCTGACTCTTGCTGAAGACTGGATTTGCTAGAAGAGTAATTGTAAGAGAGCGTTGACACTGGGGAATTGGCAGATTTGTAAGTTGGTAAAAATAAATAAAAATATTATGCACCTTGGGACTCTGAAAGGGATGGATTCGACAGGTGCCAACAGACCAAGATTGCTGGTTTGTCTAACACCTAAGAGTGATTGCTGCTGAGTGTCCCAGCATCCCAAAAATGGGGGGAGGGTATGTAAAACCATGAGTAAATTTGAAACAAAACTGGAAACTGTCTTGGCTGGGCCACTTAACAGGAACAAGTGTGAAGAGAAATTTTTGAAAAGAACTCTTGCCCTGGAATAATCTTGACAATTAAGACTAGTGTGTTTACTTTTTGTATTGATCACTTTTTTTGCACTCCTACTTTGTTTCGGATATTGTATGCAGCCTATATTAGGAGCTGATGTGGCTTTTAGAATTCATGCAGGAGTTGGGTATTAATCTGCACCCTAAAATGTATGGAATGCTTCAGCCTAAAAGGATCTAGAAGAAAATCAAGAAGGGGAGGGGGGTGTGTGGGCGCATGTGTGTCTCAAAACTTCTCTGGAGACCTGAGGTTCGATGATCTGCAGATGTCTTTGAAGAAGCAATGAGGATACAATTCTAAAAGAACATACCACCATATACGTACTCTTAAAACTGTTGACTTGTAGCATTATGGCTGTAGTATGTTGATGGCATATTAGTGGCATCCAGTCATGCAAAGACGGTATTAGATTCTATGCACAAATTTTTATTACTGGAGTGGTGGTTTGTTTTTTACAGCCTTTTGACTGTTTTCCTGAGGAAACTTACTGTTACTAAATAGAATAGGACTGAATGACTACACTTGCATTTGAAACCACCATTTTTTGTGAGAAGATTCTTCTGCGGGTAGTCTTAGTACGACAAAATAATTAAAAACAAAACAAAACAAAAAACAAAACAGTGTTTTTAGCTTTATAGCTCCTTGAATTTTCAGCCTGTTTCAAAGAGCTCTTTCCATATAATAAAGCTACAGTGACAGAAAGCTCTCCTGGGGAATAGGGCGTAAAAAGAACTGTACCCCTTCTGCTTTCTGTAGGGCCATGAAAGTTTACACGGTGAGAAAGAACATGTTGGGAATGGAAGCACATTTGATTGTGAACTAGCTGCCGGCAGTATCGTCCATCACAGTAACTGGTGATCTCTGTGTCATACATGCGAAAGCACGCCAATACCTATGGCAGACAAGTATGTATCCTGCTCTGGTGCTGGTTTGTCATCAGAACTACTTTATTGTTAATGTTTAAATCAATTATTTAATGTTTACACAATAACTCTTTCTGATGATAAATCAGTGTTAGACGAGTCCCACCTTGATCCTCCAATTGCCAATACCATTCTTTCAGCAACGCGGTTGGTGCAGGAACTGTTACTGAATTAACTTCCCAGTACTTCATGCAGTTAGCCACAGTGGGCAGTATTCCATCCTGGGAACTTGCAGCGCGTAGTGCGGAACGGAGCGTTCTTAAGATGGTAAATGATTTACACAGGCTAGTTCATCCTTACTAATACTTGCCACTGGCTTTGAAATCCTAGCCGTCTGAAAGGGTAAAGAAGGAAAACCAATCCTACACCTTTAGGTCTTCACGTAGTGTTGAGAATAGCTTAAGACAAACCATAACCTGCCTGAGTCATCCATATCAGCTTATAACTATGTCAATGGTATAGAAACACTGTATTTTAGTTTACAGAACACATGTAGTATTTTTTTTTTCCATTTAATGTCTAGATATTAAAAATGAAGAAACTTGATTTTGTTTTTAGTAGAAGCCTTTTTTGTTTGTTTTTTTTTTTTTTTTAATTGTACATAGTGAAATGAGTGTTCCTGCTTTCTAGACAATGTATTTTAAAACCTTGAAATTAAGCTAACTTAAGTCTGACTTCACTTTGCATGCTTCTATTTGGCCCCTATTAGGAGAAAAAAGATACTTGTATTGACTACATTACCAGTTTAATAAGACCATTTATGCTGTAGTTTTAAGTTTTTCTGTTTACATAGCTTAGTGACAACCATGCATTTTTCCCAGTAGGCAGATAGTATTTGCAGTGTTTCATATTTATAAAAAAAAACCTTGCATCTTATTTAAATTGAAAATAAAAGTTTGACTATGAATCATGATTTTTGTATGTAGATGGTTGACTTAGCCTTTTGTACTTTTCCCAGCTAAAGTGAGCTGTTTTGAGAAAGTGACCACCTTCAAAGTGGCAACAATCTTACTTAAGCAGATCACTGCTTTGTCTTCTTTCTGCTGGAAAACAGTCAATACCACCTTAGTTTTCCAACAGATTCAGCTGGCTGCCAGCTCAGAATACCAAGGACTGAAGGACATTTGACTCTTATTTTTGTATTTAAATGACATGAATGTAAAGGGGATGCTCAGGGTTGTTTTGGAGCCTGTTGAATTTTTATCTTTTTGCCTGTGATTTTATTTTCTAAATAAATACTTCATGTAGCAATCTTGAATATGTTGAGAAGGAAAATGCCAAACCATTTTGGTAATGAGGTTACTAGTTAAGTTATGTTACGATAGGTGTTAAAGTACAAAAAACTTTTTATTTGTTAATTAATCTTGAAGAAACACGTGCCTCAGTTTAGATGTTTTGTCTTATCTTTTCTGCACTAAATACCTGACAGTTTGACCAATCAATGCACCTTTCCAGTGGCAAGACTTGCTTATCGTAAATTATATTGTCACAATGCAAGATTTAGTGACTGTAAAATGGAATAAAGTTTAAAGTTTCAGGGAATGCAAAAGGTATTAACTTAAGAGACAAAACCTTTATTCAATATGCTTTGCTTCATACTGTAAATAGCTTTTTGGCTTGTGAACCTAATTGTAATCTTTCAGGTATTTTTGTACAAATAAGGGACTGATATTCTGTTTCTTGTAATTAGAAATAAACGTTAATACAATGCTATTCATTTTATATTGGAATGAATGTCTTCTTTTGGATATATCTGTACACCATGTATCTCTTGCCTTAATTCTGCCTCAGTTGGGGTGGGTTATATTAAACAGCCTTTAAGAAAGAGTAAGAGGAAAACAGAATCCGCAAGATATCTTTATTGTGGCTGTTCTGTCTTACGATTCCTATTAGGACAGACTGTCCTTTATTTAAAAAAGAACTTGTTCACCCCTTTTGTTTGAGGAAAATCATTGGGAATATTCTGCTAGGATATTCACCATATTCATTTCGGAAGGTTGCTAGAATCAAATCGGGAAATATACCATGAGCATCTTTTGGGTCATAAAACGAAGCTATAACTCACTGAAAATGTACACTCTGCATAAAGCACTTTATTGGCCTGATAGCTGTTGGATCAGAAAACTTTTCAATAGTACTTTCAGAGAGCAATTATTTACCCCTGTAATCCTTGTAGTCGAGTGGTCCATCAGCATTTGGGCGGAAAAGCACATCTGCACAAAATATGTTTTTGCTTAAAAAAGCCATTTTTGGGGGGGGGGGGGGGGAGGAGGACGGCAGGGAGATTGGTGGTTCTTCTGGTGGATAGAATAATAGAAGGTTGGAAATGTTTCACTTTTTTGTTGGACACAATTCTTTCCTGTTTCTGCCTTGCTAATCCCTAGAAGCCATCAAATGCATTCCACTTCAAGCCTTAGTCACACTCTGGCTTCTGCATGCTACGTCTTCATGTGAGTTTGTATTGCACTGGGGCATGAGTTATATGTTAGCATTATGAAATTCATTCATCAGCACATAAAGGCAGAGTACTTATTTTGGGTTTTGATATTCCCACAAATTTTTCTATCTGGAAACGTGTGTTAAACTTAAAGCACTTAGAGCTCACTATCCCGCACACAGCAACTTACTCTTTCACTGAGCTGAACAAAGAGGACTGCTTGCTTACAAAAGGTTTGAAGATGCCTATTTCTTGCTTAGCTAAAGGAAGCTGTGCTAACATTGAAATTGGCCCCCTCTGTAATCATTAAAAGTCAAGGACTATAATTCTACACAAACCTGTAAAAAAAAAAAAAAAAAAAAACCCAAACCCCACCTTACTTTATTGTATATATATTACGTTTGGAACAGGCGAGAAGATGGCATGGAAAAAAAGCAGCGCGGTAGAAAGGTGTTGGTAAGCCTGCCCAATGGCAGGGCAGTATTATCTGCATGTTTGTCCAAACTGCCCACGACTGTGGCAAGAGCAAAATGATACCTGTGAAATCCGGCCCTAGACGTTAACAGCAGGTACCTGGGCTATCAGAACGTCACCAGTACAAAATTAGTCTGGGTCAGAAATGGGTATATGGTACAGAGTTGAATCAATTGCCTGACAGAAGGTTTGTGCTGCTTTTACATGAGTTGCAGGACAACAGACATAATCAGGCGTCTGATCCCACATGAAGCCTTCTAGCGTGAAGTTCGCCTGGCAAAACAGCGTAAATGCATTTGAACCTATGAGTAAATTTGTATCAGACTAGCGTTTTACAGCATGTGGCTGCAGCACTTTTATCCTGATACACAGAACCCTAAAGTTAGGTTTATTTTAACACCAAATCGCTGCTTCAGCCTGTACCCACAAAACCAGATGAGAAAAACATCACCAGATGAGCCATTTCCCTTCAAGTAAGTCGAACTTCAGATGACTTCGGGTTTATGTTATTGCTAATTTAGTGATGCTTTAATCTGGTTTGTTAATGTCCAGCTCGTATATTGCTTTGTGTCTCGGGCATTGTTTGTCTAACATCTTGGAAACTTCAGTAACAATATCAGCAGATGGAGAAAAGAGATGTCTTCCTTTGAAATACCCACATTGCCTTAATTTGGGTTGCTTCTGCATCCTAAATCTTATGTCTTCCTTCCTTAACTTGGAGCACAATTTAATTAGTATTTGAAAACCTAATATAACCACAACTATGTCCAAGAGCTATATGATTTTCATTAGACATTGCGATTAGTCACATCTGAGACTTCAAAATAAATGAGTTTGTGTAACGCTCACATTGCAAACTCTTCGCCCGAAGACATTCTGCTCTAATTGCTCATCATTTTGCACAGATACTAGCAGATGTTTTAGCAAGAATGATCGCTTCATCACAAGACACTGAGCTGTGATTAACAGGGTCTTACGACACTTGTTGGTTACCTGGGTTTGTATGCTTTGCTTCAATCAGGTGTGTTCCATCTGTTGGCTGCAAGATTCTGGTGCCACAATTGAGGAACAGGAAGGTGAAATTATAAACACAGCTGCCAGCTCTGAGTCAAAGTACAGCCTGGGTTTATGGGCTCTGAAGCTCAGCTCAGCTGCAGTCAGAGGTGTAACTCATAAGAAAAGAGAGCTCAGAAGAACTAGACTGGGAGGGAAATGGAGTGGAGAAAAGAATGACTCTTGGGTAGTATTGTCCACGTGGTGGTTTGGGTGTGACTAGGAACACAGTGAAGACAGTGGTGTGATGCCCGAGTGCTGCTCGCCAGTCCCTTAGAGTCAGTTTTCCCTCCTCTTCCCTCAGACTTGTGAAGACACTGCTACGTAAAGACTTCCATTTTATTTGCCTTTTGAAACACATTCTCCAGAGGCGTGAGGATTGGCATTTTGGGTTATCAAGCAGAGAAACAGCTATGGAATTGGTGTTCTCGACAACCTGCCCATTCTCCAAAACAGTCTGTCCGACTGCCATCAAGAGAAAAGGAAGGTAAAAGTATGGTTCTGCCAACAATGATGGGAATGGTTAAAGCAAATGGCTAAGCTCGGCACTGAAAATGTACAATTTCATTGCCCCACAAAGAATGCTAGATACATCCTACTTTGAAATACTTTAATTTAGTTAGACCTTTTCAGTATTTGATTTCCTCCATAATACTTCTCTTTACTGCTGACTTTCCGCAGGATATTAATGTGCTCTGTGTGACTCTTGCCAACTCTCAGTTTTCAGGTTACTGTAGTACTCTCAGAATCAGGTCCAAAGACAAACACAAATACAGAAATGAGGCAAGCTGTGAGGATTAGAGCTTCTTGAAAAATTACCCCACAACACAGCTAGTCACGGAAGAAAACAAATTGATCATTATAGAAATGGTAGGTAGAAGAATTAATTTGGTTTTTCACTGAAGACTGGTTGGTGAAAACAGCTGGCTAAACAAGGACGAAAATCGTTGAAGGCTTACAAAGTTTGCCTCAAAATATTTACAATCAATTGCTGATACAAGCGTTTGACCTGCTGTAGAAAACAGAGCACTTCAGAGAAGAGAGTGTGCCTGAGAAGGCATTGCATCCTCTTGCTTGTTTGCACACCTTCACAACCAAAATCCTAGGAGCTGCTGTCCTTGAAAGGACAAGGGAGCAGGAACTCCCAGGACAGGAGCAGGAAGGGACACTTAGGATGACGTAGAAATGGAAGAGATATAAGGAAGAGCAAACAGGATGGTCACAGGAACAATCAAATATGGCAGGATGGTTCAGCCAACTAGAAAGCAGAGACTGAGGGCAGTATAATAGACTTACGGAAAAATGTAGGCAGCTGAGCAGAAAACAAAACATTTAATTTACAATCTCTTTAAATACAAAAGTCGCAGAAGATCACCTGAAGTGTGCAGGGTCCCAGTTCAGGAAAACCAGAAGTATTTCTTCATAGACTGCCTGTGTAAGCTCTAGTGTTCTCCACCACAAAATGTAGCACGTGGCAAAAGTTCACATGGGTTCACAAAGGGCTTAAACATCATGATAGAGAAAACTCAGCTGATGGACGTTAATTACAAAAATACCATCTT